AACATACTCTTTCAGGCTGTATGGTTTGTTCAGTCATATTTGAAGGTTCTATGGCGCCTCCTCTTGCACTATAAAAATTATAGTCTCAATTAGATCACATTGGATGTTGTTACAGCAACAAACTGAAGATGTCTTTCCAATACGATGTTAAGGAGGGATCTATCAACACATACATGTACATACAATTCCATGAATTTAATTACAAAATTGTGTCTTTTTTTTTCTGTTTCATGCAGACAGAGACTTCACGGCGAGTACACCAAACAACTGACCTCTGTACTGGACCAATGGGACTCCGATATGAAGAAGATGAAAGAAAATGAGGAAAAACTTCAGGTATATAATAACTCGTAATCATTATCATCATGATCATTTAGTGTAGTTATATTTTGCTTTAATTTTTCTTCCTCTACTGCTCTTGCATACATTTGTATCTTATATCAGTGGTATTATTCACATGTGAGCTATTCATCATTGTAATTATTGTAATGGTTATTGGTGATTTCTGAATAGGTCTTAACCGTATATAGCTTGGTATCATTTAATAAGTTTGGCCAGGAGGGATTAAACCTCCTGCATGGTGGTCACTATGTGGCAGGTGTTTATCTTAAATCATCCAATAAGGTCTCAATTAATTAAAAAAGAAAAAGGAGACCATGGGGGCCCAATGGTCACCGCTTAGGCATTGTTTGCTATATAGAGGGCGCAAGTAGCTATAGTGCAGTGGGGCTTTTAATTTAGTGGCATATAATATTAATAGCTCACATTTATAATGCGCCTAATACTTTATTTCTAGGCACAGCACATATTATTACCCAGTCATCGGATTCAGGCTTAACCGCAACACAATGTATGCACATTTTCCACTCCCTGGGGAGCATTCCAGCTAGTCACCATTTTACAAGTGCCACCTGCTAATCCAACCACATTAACTTTCAAATCCTACCAGGTACCCATTTAACACCTGGGTGGAGAGTGGCAAATGTAGATCAATGACTTGCCAAAGGACAGTGCTGCGGCGGGACTTGAACCGCGGACCTTGTGATCCACAGTCCGTTGACATATCCACTCGACAACGAGACCTCTAGCATATCATGATTTTTTTTGTTGAAAAATTTGTTCCAGATGATGCTGAAGCAACAACAGAGGGTGGTACAGCAGTCGTGCATCGCCATGAATCAACGACTCAAGAACGTCCGACAGCTCTTTGAACAATACAATAAGGTATGTCCATCCAGGCTTAGAGGTCGACCCTAGCTTAACCTGCAACGGTATGATATTGTCAGTAGGCCCGTCTTAAAGGTAATACAAAGTTTTGGGAAATTTCGAAAATTGGTAGATAGTGATTCTTTACAATTTTGATATATTTTGGTGCCACTGTAGATGTATTATAAGCACTAGAAAATTTAGCCCTAAAACATTTCTGCTGTCGAGAAAAATGGAATATAAAAATTTACTGGTGCTCCCGGTAAATTTTGATAAATTTTAAATAGCGCCTACGGCCGTACGGCCGTATGTTAGCTGCGACCATGAAAATCTCAGAATATGTAGTCGTGATATATAATTTCCAAACAGGAAGAGCTTATCGGTCGATTTTAGTCAAGAAACATTTTTTATAGCTTAATTAATATATTGACCTTGAGAGGGAGCTATACAACATAAATAGTTTATTATTAACAATTTCATAACTTTAAACTCGATTTCAACCGCGACAACGATCACTGAATATTGTAGTATCGCATAACCTTCCAATATGTTCATTTGAACCAAATCATGACCCAATACCAAAACTTTGTATTACCTTTAATCAGCTCGAGTTTGCCAAATAACCCAGTATTTTAATTATCCTGATTGCAAATTAACCAGTTCACTTGGGTCTTCATCAGCCCGCAGTTGCAATTAGCGGGATATTGGTCGAGAAAATATCCGGAGAAATCTTGGTCTTGTTTCCTAAATATCCCGATAATTAGGAAAAATAGTGGGCTAATTTGCACACGTCGTTGCTAGTTTGTGATGAGCGTAACGGTCTGGTGAAGACACAATTTTGAGCTTCGGGATAATATTTGGCAAACTCAAGCTGATGAAGACAGGCCTTTTAAAGTGCATATTATGCTCTGAAACAAAATATTCTTCATCATAGATGATGGGAAATTTATATGGATTGACTGGTTATTATTGAATTGTTGCATAAACTTGTTTTTCATATACCTGTATTTGATTTGATTTGGGAAGTGTATTACATTTGTCACTATTACATCCATCATTACATCTAATTATCTAATTGAAATCCTTTTTTATTTCCCTCTCTCCTACCCCCCCCCCAATCTCTCTCTCTCTCTCTCTTTCTCTTTCTTCTCCTTGCCTCTCTTTGCCACTCTCACCCTTTGTCTCACTCTATTTGCCTTTTCATAATTGTCTCATCCCCCCCCCCCCCCCGAAGGAAAAATCAGTTACCACCAGTTGAAATTTCCAACTGGTTCCAGTTAACTTCAACTGGAACCAGTTAGATTCAACTGGTTCCAGTTGATTCTAACTGGTCCATGATGCACATCAAGCGGATATTTGGTGCGACTGCATTTCATTTAACTGGAACCAGTCCTTATAATGACCAGTTACACCAGTTGATAACTGGTCTGTTTGCATACTTCCAGTTGCACCAGTTGATAACTGATCTGTGCATGGCATATTTCCAGTTGCACTAGTTGATAACTGGTCTGTTACGCCAGTTGATAACTGGTCTGTTAATTCCAACTGGACCAGTTAGAATTTGACCAGTTGAATGCCAACTGGACCAGTTAGAATTTGACCAGTTGAATGCCAACTGGGACCAGTTAGAATTTGACCAGTTGAATTCCAACTGGACCAGTTAAAAATCTGACCAGTTGAAATACAACTGGACCAGTTAAAAATCTGACCAGTTGAAATACAACTGGACCAGTTAGAATTTGACCAGTTGAATTCCAACTGGTCAAATTCTAACTGGTTCGTGTGCATATTTCCAGTTGACACCAGTTAATTTGCATAATGGATATGGGGTGCGTGCACATCTATGTTTCAATACAATTTATCTGAATTTACAGCATATTCCTTAATTACTGATGATTTAGTTATGTGCAATTCATTTCTAAAATACTACAAATACAAATTGCCAATTATTAGGCCATTTCATTACTTCGTGTAAATAACATTTAATTAAACATAAATTAGGGAAAACATTAACTATGAACTAAAATAGATTTGATAAAATACAAATATATTCAAAATAGTCAGTTAACAAGTCTACTTATTACCAATGCCTTTACATTGGAAATTGCAGACGATCTAGTCTTGGTTGTTGCCAATTGGCAAAATTAATTAGTACAAGTGCTACTTATGCCTTTAATTACTAATTAAGTTTTCAATTGGCAGTTGAATGGTCCAGTTAGACCAGTTAAATCCAACTCGTAACCCTGGAAATTGAAATGGGCCAGTCGAATTCCAACTGGACCAGTTAGAATTTGACCAGTTGAATTCTAACTGGTCCAGTCAAAATTCAACTGGTCTGGTTCAACTGGCCCATTTCAATTTCCAGGGTTACCAGTTGGCTTTAACTGGTTTTAACTGGACCAGTTGCAACTGGTTTTTCCTCTCTCTCTCTCTCTCTCTGTCTTTGTGTCTCTCTCCCTCTGTTTTTCTCTTTCTTCTCCTTGCCTTTTTTTTGCCACTCACCCTCCGTCTCTCACTTTATATGCCTTTTCATAATTGCCTCTCTCTTTTTCTCTCTGTCTCTCTTCCTCTGTCTCTCTTTTTCTCTTTCTTCTCCTTGACTCTCTTTACCATTTGCCTTTTCATAAGTGTGTGTCTCTCTCTCTCTTTCTCTCTGTGTGTTTGTCTTTCTCCCTCTCTTTTACTTTGTCTTCTCCTTGCTTCTTTTAATTGCCGTTCAAACTCCTCTCTTATTTGCCTTTCCATAATTGTCATTCACTTTCTCTTGCTCTCTCTCTCTCTCTCTCTCTCTGTCTCTTCTCTTTGCCTCTTTTTGCCACTCGCCCTCTGTCTATCACTGTATTACCTTTCCATAATTTTCTCTTTCTCTCTCTCTGTCTTTGTGTTTCTCTCCCTCTCTTCTTCTCTTCCTTCTCCTTGCCTCTCTTTACCACTCTCACCCTCTTTCTCACTCCATTTGCCTTTTCATAATTGTCTCTCACACATACTCTCTCTTTCTCTCTCTTTTTTTTTGTCTCTCTCCCTGTCTTCTCTTTCTTCTCCTTGCCTCTTTTTACCACTTGCCTCATGTATAATTGTCTCTCTCTCTCTCTCTCTCTTTTTTTCTCTCTCCCTCTCTCTCTCTCTCTCTCTCTTCTCTTTCTTCTCCTTGCCTCTCTTTACCACTCTCACCCCTTTCTCACTCCATTTGCCTTTTCATAATTGTCTCTCACACATACTCTCTCTTTCTCTCTCTTTTTTTTGTCTCTCTCCCTGTCTTCTCTTTCTTCTCCTTGCCTCTTTTTACCACTTGCCCTCATGTATAATTGTCTCTCTCTCTCTCTCTCTTTTTTTCTCTCTCCCTCTCTCTCTCTCTCTTCTCTTTCTTCTCCTTGCCTCTCTTTACCACTCTCACCCTCTTTGTCACTCCATTTGCCTTTTCATAATTGTCTCTCACACATACTCTCTCTTTCTCTCTCTTTTTTTTTGTCTCTCTCCCTGTCTCCCTGTCTTCTCTTTCTTCTCCTTGCCTCTTTTTACCACTTGCCCTCATGTATAATTGTCTCTCTCTCTCTCTCTCTCTCTTTTTTTCTCTCTCCCTCTCTCTCTCTCTCTCTTCTCTTTCTTCTCCTTGCCTCTCTTTACCACTCTCACCCTCTTTGTCACTCCATTTGCCTTTTCATAATTGTCTCTCACACATACTCTCTCTTTCTCTCTTTTTTTTTCTCTCTCTCCTGTCTCCCTGTCTTCTCTTTCTTCTCCTTGCCTCTTTTTACCACTTGCCCTCATGTATAATTGTCTCTCTCTCTCTCTCTCTCTTTTTTTCTCTCTCCCTCTCTCTCTCTCTCTCTCTCTTCTCTTTCTTCTCCTTGCCTCTCTTTACCACTCTCACCCTCTTTCTCACTCCATTTGCCTTTTCATAATTGTCTCTCACACATACTCTCTCTTTCTCTCTCTTTTTTTTTTGTCTCTCTCCCTGTCTTCTCTTTCTTCTCCTTGCCTCTTTTTACCACTTGCCCTCATGTATAATTGTCTCTCTCTCTCTTTTTTTCTCTCTCCCTCTCTCTCTCTCTCTTCTCTTTCTTCTCCTTGCCTCTCTTTACCACTCTCACCCTCTTTGTCACTCCATTTGCCTTTCATAATTGTCTCTCACACATACTCTCTCTTTCTCTCTCTTTTTTTTTGTCTCTCTCCCTGTCTTCTCTTTCTTCTCCTTGCCTCTTTTTACCACTTGCCCTCATGTATAATTGTCTCTCTCTCTCTCTCTCTTTTTTTCTCTCTCCCTCTCTCTCTCTCTCTTCTCTTTTCTCTCCTTGCCTCTCTTTACCACTCTCACCCTCTTTGTCACTCCATTTGCCTTTTCATAATTGTCTCTCACACACATACTCTCTCTTTCTCTCTCTTTTTTTTTGTCTCTCTCCCTGTCTCCCTGTCTTCTCTTTCTTCTCCTTGCCTCTTTTTACCACTTGCCCTCATGTATAATTGTCTCTCTCTCTCTCTCTCTCTCTTTTTTTCTCTCTCCCTCTCTCTCTCTCTCTCTCTCTCTTCTCTTTCTTCTCCTTGCCTCTCTTTACCACTCTCACCCTCTTTCTCACTCCATTTGCCTTTTCATAATTGTCTCTCACACATACTCTCTCTTTCTCTCTCTTTTTTTTTTGTCTCTCTCCCTGTCTTCTCTTTCTTCTCCTTGCCTCTTTTTACCACTTGCCCTCATGTATAATTGTCTCTCTCTCTCTCTCTCTCTCTTTTTTTTCTCTCTCCCTCTCTCTCTCTCTCCTCTTTCTTCTCTGCCTTCTCTTTACCACTCTCACCCTCTTTCTCACTCCATTTGCCTTTTTCATAACTTGTCTCTCACACACACTCTCTTTTCTCTCTCTCTCTCTCTCTCTCTCTCTCTCTTTTGTCTCTCTCCCTGTCTCCCTGTCTTCTCTTTCTTCTCCTTGCCTCTTTTTACCACTTGCCCTCATGTATAATTGTCTCTCACTCTCTCTCTCTCTCTCTCTCTCTCTCTCTAGACGATGGGAGAGTTGGAGCAGTGTCATCAGGGCCAGAGACCAACGTCCAAGGAGAACTCAAGAAGGAGCTTAATCTCCTCCACAAGAAGATTCTCATGGATACAGTAAGTAGTTACACCAATAACTTTGTTCACATAGCACCCGTATACCGTCAGCAGTCTCCAAACATGCACTGTCATAATTAGCGCAATCAGGACTTGGTGGAATTCAAGGGAGAGGGTCATCAATTTCCATGCGCAGAAGGTCATGAAAGTCGATGAGCTAGTGTCCTTTGGTAAGGCGTATAATCCTCATAACCAAGTCCCTTGGAGAGAACTTAAAGCCGTTCGTCTCTGGCTGCTTACTTACAAGCAAACACATGCTTTTTTTTTTTATATAGCAGTCGGTATAACAGACAAACAAGCCAAGCAATTTTTACCTTCCAGCTGTCAAAACCTTGATGATTGTTGTCTATGCTTACTTAAATTTTAGTTAGGATCGCCTTGGTTCAGGGTTATCACGCTAACTATAACATTGTTCACGGTTTAAAACTTTGAGTAAAGTTTAAGTTTCCTAAACCTCGGCTGCAACCACATAGACCTTCACTACAAGTTAACCTTAAAGTTAAAAAACACAAGCCTAGAAAACAGTAATGAATCGCCAATTGTGTGAAACTATTACTATATGACCCTCTTTTGATAAACAAAAGAGTAAAACACAAAAACAAAACAAAAACATCATATAAATAATAACAATTATAGCCTAATAGTCCACTTAATTTTATTAAACCGAAACAAAAATTCTTTTTGCCCAATTGATCGTGAGCCCGGCAGCCACTGAGCAATGCCAGATCGACGTTGCTCTCCCTTATTGTTGAACGCCAAACAAGGTAGCAACAACTCCCATCTTTTAACGTCTTACCTTATTACCTGCATTATTCAAACTAATACACGCCCAATTTATTGTTTATCACTGACATTCTAAGAATTATAAACTAAGATCATTGATCATCATTATTTTACTTTCATTTCCAACTTTCGGTATACAACTACCTACTCGATTGTAACTTGTTTGTATATGAATCACACTGATATATACACTGTTGGTCATAATGATGGAATATTTATTTTTACCCCAGTTTAGGGAAGGATTTGAAAAAATTATTTATTTCTAATAGATCTAGATAATGCATACATTCTCAGATTTTATTGATATTAATTTGCGAGTGTTTGTTTGCGTGACTGCTTAATCAATATGTGTTCTTCTATGCTAATCAGATAAGGGACCTACGTCCTTAAGTCATAATTGACAGTAATGAGGATTAGTGCCTCACAAAAGGGCACTAATATATAGCTGATCGACACGATTTTTATCCTGGGGCCTCACAGTAACGAGGCCATTGCTTAGCCCCTGAATCATGACTGTACGCAGTGTTTGCTAGGGTACGCGGCCCCTTCCACAAATCCCCCAAAACGAAGAAATGCAATAAATTGTCAAAAATTCATTGCATTTCCCCCCGGCCCCCAACAGAAATAATATTCGGTAGGGCCGTGCATTATGGTTCAAGGCATGGCCACATAGAGGAATTTTTCCTGTTGGGGGCCGGGGGGAAATGCAATGAATTTTTGACATTTATTGCATTTTCTTCGTTTGGGGGGATTTGTGGGAAGGGGCAGCGTACCCTAGCAAAACACTGCGTAAAGTCATGATTCAGGGGCTAAGCAATGGCCATGTTACTGTGAGGCCCCAGGATAAAAAATCGTGTCGATCAGCTATATTAGTGCCCTTTTGTGAGGCATTAATCCTCATTACTGTCAATTATGATTTAAGGACGTAGGTTCCCTAGCTGATTAGCATAGTAGCACACATATGATTTAGCAGTCACGCAAAAACAAACACTCGCAAATTAATATTCAATAAAATCTGAGAATGTATGCCATTATCTAGATCTATTAGAAATAAAATAATTTTTTCAAATCCTTCCCTAAACTGGGGGTAAAAATAAATATTCCATCATTATGACCAACAGTGTGATATATATATATAGGCCTACTAGATAATTCATTTATAGAACTCAGTGAGTGTTTAAAATGATGATGCCACAATGTCAAAGCAATTTTAGTCCTTTCTTGACAGATTCATTTTTGTTTGTGGAGAAAAAAAAAACATTTGGAGGAGAAAATAAAGGATTGCATTTAATAGGCATTCAAAAAGCTTTACAATGACTTTTATTAATTTATCTGTTGATATAAACAGGATGGAAGTTACATTTCTGGACTTCAAAATGAAAGAAAATACCTCCATATTTAACATTGAAAAGGTATGGGCATCTAAAACCTAGGCAATCCATTTCAATCTGGATTGAAAGAAAAGAAAAGAAAAAATAGCAGACCCCCAAATTGTCATTCAGTAAACCATATTCATAAAAACAGATGCAATGTTGAAGTTATGGGTCTAGCGCCCTCTCTTGACCATCCACTTATAACTGAAAATACACTTCTCAAAGAGTGCATGCAGCTAATAGCTTGTTTTCTACCTGTGTAGCTTCATGTGGTTTAACAACAATTGATAGAAATGGAACACTGTTGACAAATCAGACATCCAATCCAACACCAAGATACATGTATTAAGAAATGCAAGGGAAATTAAAAGAGCTATAATTAGGCAATGAATGCTTTTCATATCACTTTTCCATTTACAGTACTAGTATTTACCCCACTGCCCCCACCCCCCCCCCCCCCCAAAAAAAAATATATATATGATCTCTCTGATAGCACAATTCAACAAATAATTTTTCACTAATTCGGTTCAATAATTGTATGTACCGCTATATAGGCTAAAGAATGTGGTTACTAACTCTTTAGTTTTATTACTGCATCGCCATACTGATTACGAAATTGCATATACAGTTTTCTTTCTTCTTTTTTTTCTTCCCACTTTTGTCAAATGCTGATCAGTCAGAAGATGTTTCATTTTTGATTGGTATGATATCGCATCATGTTTTGTTATTCATTCATCCATTCTTTGTCCCAGTTATCTAAGGCATAGACTACAAATGGCCACATTAGATTCATGTACTTCCATTTTCACTTTGAAGTTGTTGAATAGTTATCCTTAAAAGAAAAAGAAAAAAGGGAAAAGAGAGGAAATGGTACTCATGTACATGTATGTGGTTGAGCCAATAAATAACAACAAAACTTCATGACCGATTTGAAAGTCAAATGAATCATTGTTTCAGTGAATCTTATTGTCACATCATAGTACAATTATAATCTACAATTACAGTTTATGAGTGATTGTATATTTCATTTAGTTGGGCCAAGGATGCTGATGATATTCATGAACTTTTTGGAAAACACACTAAGCTTGCAAATATTTCTTCTTCTTCGATCTTCTTCTTCTTCTCTTCTTCTTCTTCTTCTCGTGCTTCTTCTCCTTCTTCTTCTTCTTCTTCTTCTTCTTCTCTTCTTCTTTCTCCTGCTTCTTCTCCTTCTTCTCCTTCTTCTTCTTCTTTCTTGATCTTCTCTTCTTCTTCTTCTTCTTCTTCTTCTTCTTCCGTGCTTCTTCTCCTTCTTCTTCTTCTCTCTTCTTCTTCTTCTTCTTCTTCTTCTTTTCTTCTTCTTCTTTCTTCTTCTTTCTCCTGCTGCTTCTCCTTCTTCTCCTTCTTCTTCTTCCTCCTCTTCTTCTCCTTCTTCTTCTTCCTCCTCTCTTCTCCTTCTTCTTCTTTCTTCTCCTTCTTCTTCTTCCTCTCTTCTTCTTCTTCTCCATCTCCTTTATTTTTCTCTCTCTCTCTTCTCTCTCTCTCTCTTTTGTGTACAAAGCTATCAAGTAATACTGATTTTTGTTCTTCTTTCTTCTCCTTCATCCTCCTCTTCCTTGTCCTTCTTCTTCTTCTTCTTCTACTTCTACTTCTTCTCCTTCATTATCCTCTTCTCTCTCTCTGTCTCTCTCTGGTGTGTACAAAGCTATCAAGTAGGACTGATGTCCTTCTTGCTGCTATTCTTTTCATGTTACGTCTCCTTTCCTTTCTTGTTTCCCTTCCTCCACTTCTTCTTCTTCTCCTATCCTCCTTCTTCTTGTTATCTTCATTTCTTCTTCTTCTTCTTCTTCTTCATGTTACAATATGCAATCAATTATCAAGTGCAGCCGTGCGGAAAGAGTGACCAATTGAAGAAATTACCAATGCATGATTCTGAGTGTTCAGGTGGGGGAGTTGTCCCCAAATAAGCTAGGCTTTGATAAATTACTGATTTCATTACTGGTTGAACTTTCATATTACTAGTAGTTGAATTGAATTGGTTTGGTTTATTGAGAAATCACATCAAACAAGCAGCTCGTAGGCTGAAAATGTTCGATTTACAAACAAGTTAAAAATATAGAGAGATATAAACATATACAAAACTAAAATACATATTGTAAGTCATTGTAATAATATACTTTCATGTTGAAGAACCAAGACGGTGGGAAGGACGGAATGGAGAAGAAAAAAAGGAAGTTGTTTGACCGAAAGAGTTGAGAAAGTATTTAACAATTGCTAAACAAACATTTCTATTACAAAAATGAAATTAAGCATTAAAAAAAAAAACCTACTGGATGGGATGAAATTAAACCGTAAAAGTCAAAATGACAGTCTCTATTCCGTTTTCCCCTTAGTAGTACACTTGAATATTGATTCAACAAATGAATACATTGTCTATCATTTGTAGGCTAGTCATTTAGCAATACTTCTTTGATATGTCCGATAAAAAATGAAATATGATACAAAAACCATCCTCCCAGGGTACACTTTATATGGATTCAAGATGATTCATCAAAGACATAACATAGTCTATCATATCTAGGCTAGTCAGTTAACAACAGTAATACAATATATACCAGTAAAAGGCGATATGTAAGTTTTAAGGGTACATGACATATTGATTCAATACGTTCCAAGATGCTGGCTAAAACTACCATTAAAGTGTACCAGTGACCTGGAGAAAAATAACATTGTGTGTATTGGTAGGATGTATCAAATTGACCTCAAATTAACATTTTAATTCAATCTATAAGAAAATAAAACAATTAACATAAAACAATCTGAAAGAAACTATGAAAGCGATTGGAAAGGTTGATAATGTAAGTATTGGTATATACTACAAGGTTTTGGAAACTGCTCAAGTCTTGCGAAGAATCGCATACAATGTATGCAGAAAGACTGCACAAAAATATGTGGCATGAAATTTGTGGAACAGAACCTTAAGCTGTTACTTGTCATATTTTGAATATGAGGGCATTTGAGAAGAGCCATTCTTTTCACATTTTCAGTGGAAATTTCTGTCTGTGATACTTTTCAACACTAGCATAAAAAGAAGAAAAGAAAAGCTCACAAAATTATTTTTCACTTTCCTAGAACTTGAAGTTACCTTCTCTTTAAAGGTAATACAAAGTTTCGGGAAATTTCAGAATTGGGTCGATAATGATTCTTTACAATTTTAATATAATTGGATAACCTTGTGGATGAATTATAGGCACTAGAAAATTTAGACCCTAAAACACTTCTGTTTTCGAGAAAAATTGAATATAAAAATTTTGATAAATTTCAAATAGCGCCTACGGCAAACAATGGTAGCTGCGACCATGAAAATCTCAGAATATGTAGTTGTGATATTTAATTCCCAAACGGAAATAGCTAATTGGTCGATTTTAGTCAAGAAACATTGTTTTATAGCTTAATTAATATATTGACCTTGAGAGGGAGCTATACAACATAAAGAGTTTATTATTTACAATTTCATAACTTGAGACTTGATTTCAACCGCGACAACGATCACTGAAAATTATAGGATCGCATATGCTTCCAATATGTTCATTTGAACAAATTTATGACCCCATACCAAAACTTTGTATTACCTTTAAGGTCATAGGAAAGAGAGAATTCATAGTAGTCATCGGGCTAACAGTATAAAAGACGTACTATTGAAAAGAAGAAAAAAATTAATTATTTTTGTATACTCTGCTATGGTTGGCCATTCAAATTTGGATATAATTATCACTTGGTGAGTACCTTCACTGCAGAAACATAAAACCAGATCGCAATCAATTTTGAAAAATCAAGCTGAGACTTGTGCGTCCCCTATTTGAATGTGCGAACACGACAACGGTGTGTTATGTAATCTGAACATGATTTGAATGGTACACACATGTACATGTACATACAATAGAGTATTGAAATTGCTCTCCGGCTAATTTTTTGAAAAATAGTTGCAATCATGTTATTAGGTTCGTGACCCACAAAACTAAATGGTGTATCAGATTTTATATTATCCATTGTCCTTTGCCTTATAATTGTATCAGCTAGACTAAACTTGATCCATCAATCAAATGCTATATAGTACCATTGTTTTTGATACCTATTAAAAGTGGAGATAAGAGTTATTGCCTCTTAAAATTCAGTTCAGTTCACTTTCTTACATAGTAATTTTGGCTCGTTTAAAAAACAGACCATGTTAAAGAATCATATAGGTGAAAGTCTGAGAAAATCATGACAAACGATCAGAGAGTTGTGAATTTTAAAGATGAGATCACTACACACTGATAGAGGGAATTTCCCAAATTGAGATCTCTCCAAATTTGTGTTTAAAAAAACACTTATTCATAATAACCTTCTCCATTCTTTAATGATGAAATAGACTTGTCTAGTGATGCATAACTGTTGTCTCATCATCCTGCCTGAATAGATATATCAATAGATCAATAAATAATAGACATATATCTATCTCTCTTTACTTCTGCTATATGTAAAACTATATAATCATTCATTTATATATAATGCCTTATTTTTTTTTAATATGTTTGTATTATATATTTTCGGTGTAAGGTAATTTGAAGTCTAATTCATTCGTGTAATACCATCCGCATGGACATTTTAGTTGAAAGTGTGTTTTTAATTTGTCTTTAAAATCAGCAACAATAACAAATAAATATTTGAATTCATTTATTGAATAATAAATAATTAAATGAATAAAACGATAAACAAAATCTCTTAATTGCACTTTGAGAGTTTATCCTATGAAAAAGAATATTCCCATAAACACCTGAGTTCTCAACGTTTAGGATCATGACTTATATTGACCATATGACTACTAGGAGATTCCCCTTGTGATGATCTCAAATATGAAGAATTTATAGCTCTCTTCACCTTTCCTATTTTTAATGATACTCTCATCATTGTGCTTACTCTGATTCTTCTGCTACCACCCATGATGACTTTCAGAGAGAAGGGGAATTCCCCTAAAAATTAATCCTTGGAATATAGTCATGAGAGTCAACTCTCTTGAGATACTTGTTGAAAAAGATACATTACAAAGCATCTTTTTGATTGTATTCATGTCTTTGATATTAAAACTTCTTCTTTCTCTCTCTCTCTCTCTCTCTCTCTTCCTCCCCCTCTTTTCCTCTCTATCTTCCTCCTTCTCTCTTTCTCCCCTTTTCCTCTCCATCCCTCTTCCTCCCTTTGTCTCTCTCTCTCTCTCCCCCTCGCTTTCTTTCTCTTCCCCCTCTTTTTCTCTCCCTTCCCCCCTTTTTTTCCTCTCTCTTGCCCTCCCTCTCTCTCTCTCTCTCTCTCTCTTCCCCTGTCTCTCTTCCTCCCCCTGTCTCTCTTCCTCTCTCTCTCCCTCCCTCTCTTCCTCTCTCTCTTCTGCCCTCCCTCTCTCTCTCTTCCCCCTCTCTCTCTCGCCCCTCTCTTCCCCTTCTCCCCTCTCTTCCCCTTCCCCCCTCTCCCTTCTCCTCCACCCCCTCTCTTTTTGCGACTCCCCTTCTTATTTCCCTATATGACAGCAACACCAAGAAATGGCCAACTTCCGCAAGTCGCTGCAGTCCATGTTCTTCTAGAGTTCAAGCAAGAGTGGGTGGCCATTTGCACTTTTGAGCTCTGTTGATATTCAGAAGAGAAGAGAAGAGAGAAATTATATTACGACAGCAAATCACCAAAGAAAATGAAGGAAATTTGGTCAGGAGGGCAAATTATCAAAACATGAAGACGCTTATATGCATATGTGTGTTGGTGCTTCTAACTGTGTGTTAATTTTTTGAAAAAATTCATCTCAATTTTACTACCGGTAATCAAAATCCATTACTTTCAGATTATGATAAACAGTTCAGAATGACTTATCAACTTTCAGCCACTTTCTCACAAAATACATAGTATCTATTCATTAGTACTCGTCATTGTTTATTATCCAAGGTTAGTATGACATATGATAATCTAAATTTAGATGTTCAGTTATGGCTAAATGAAGACCATAACTAAGCTTTGTTGGATGTGATCCAAAATAATTGAATTATTTATCCTGTGTGTATTTAATAGTATTAACCTCAAGTCGACACTTAAAATGAGTACTTCCTAAGTGAATGACTTAGCACTTCACATATTTCTGTAAATATGAAGTGGCATACATGGTTTATGATATTTAAGTTCTATTAGTCTAGATCACAAAATTGTAGCTTTTGGGGGGAGTTATAAATAGCTTACCTTCTAGGCATTTTGTTTGGGTTTTTTTTGTTGTCCATTTTGCCACCTCTGTCTGGAGTGAAGGCTAAATTATCATGATTTTTGCTTCATTTGAACTTTTACCTCATGCTTGATTTTTTTTTTGGGGGGGGGGGGAAGGGAGGGGTAAAGAGATAAGGGAGTTAAAGGGGAAGATGGGCAGATAAATTTACAGATAGAACTAATGGCAGATGAAGGAATGGAGAGAAAGAGAGAGAAAGTAGGGCAAGAAGACAATAGGGCATGGCATATGTGATGGAGAGAGAGAGAGAGAGAGAGAGAGAGAGAAGGAAGAGGGAGTGACAGAATGGCAGATAGAGGGACAGATAGAACTAATGACAGATAAAGGAAGAGAGAGAGAGAGAAAGAGAAGAATAGGTGTGATGGGTGGTATAGGAAAGAAGATTGAGAGAAAGAGAGACAGAGAGATCTGTGATAAGAGGTATTGAATAAGGTCTACTGCATTTTTTTTTCTTTCGGGGAAAGCTAAGAATCGTACTAAAAGAGTAAAAAAAAACGCATTATTTTCACCTTGAAACCAATATATATTGTCGGTCATGTTATACATGTATTATATTCTGAATAACAATTTGGAATTCCTTCAAAGGGAAATTTAGAAAAACAGATCCACAGTTTCTTTCAAAGGATTTATGTAGTCTATCCAATTTTGGTATTTAATTTCATCTTTCACTATATTTTTAGAACTTTTTGTTAATAATCTGAAATATGAATTATGGTTTATGTAAAATATGTTTATATTAAACTTAAAATGTCATCTTGCCTGGTTCCACGGTCAATTTAAAAGATTGTGTTGAATTCTTATTTTCAAGTGCGTGCATCAATTATTGAATATTGTCCGTCCACTTTATCTGTATTGCAAACGGACTACTAATATTTATATAAATTACATGGTTTGGAATATGAAATTGTTTTTGAAAATTATTTATTCATGTTTGATATATTGTATAATACCTTGAAATATTGTTCATGTAGCGTTGATAGTGTTAAATTTTGCAAATGTTGTGTCTTCACGGAAAATAAAAGTAAAACGACAAATTAACTTGGAGAAAAATGAATGGCTCAATTTCGGAACCTGTTACTATTATCATTTGATTGTTACTGAACCCTGTACATCCTTATGTCTTATGTATGTTTATCAGGGGAGAAGATTTCGCCACGACTTTGAATGTTCCAAAATGTTGTAAGATTCCGTGCGTAAGTTATATGCTCCCTCTAACATGCTTCAGGTGCCATCCAAACATATCTTTGAACTTGCCAAAATGAATTGCCAAAACGATATACAGGTGTTTCTTGTAGTAAGATTGTGTGATTTTATGCAATAAACCGAAGAGATTCTACACGAAGCTGTCATGAAATGCTTTAAATGTTTTGTCTTAATGGTCATATATCGATGGTACTATTTGAAGGGGCGGGAGAGTTAATCAGTACCTTTATTTGATTTTTAATCGTAGGTTCACTATGGGGTGACTTTGTTTGCTGGTGGGGGGGGTGATGATGATGATGATGATGATGATGATGACGATGACGATGACGGTAGTGGTAGTGATGATGATGTTGTCAGTTGACGATGATTATGGTAACGAAATCGGATGGTGGTGGTGGTACTCTTTGAACCTAAGCTGAACATCATAACAACTGAGCGGTAACCTTCTTTTCCTTCTTCTTCTTCTTCTTTTCCTATCAATGTGTCTACATATCGTGGGTTTTAGAGTAATCATACCATCATTGCCTTACAAATTTAACCTCTAACCTGCCAACTCCTTTAGGACTGCACTTTTTTTATGGAAAATCTATCAGGAGGGGGAAACCCCCTGTCCCTTCCTCGAAACACGCTAACGCCCACGAGACGTTGAATCCTTGGCAGTGGCCAGTGCTGAGGTGCTTAAAGGAAGGGTATTTTACCAACATCGCAAATATATACGGCTATTGTTTTAAACTGCGCGACTTTTAGGTGAACAACAAACATTTATATAAAAAAATATTTAAAAAATTATTGATTTTATTTCTCAAAACTCCAATTCTTTTTTTTGCACATAATATAGTTTATGCAAAAAAAATGCAACATATTTATAGCATTTTTATCATTTGATAAACGAACATAAATACAACGTAATTCATTATTCATAATTTCACAATGCATAGGACTAAAATTTAACACAATAACCAATAGGTAAATATTACTGCACTACACAGTTATTGCATCCCCAAAACTAGAACAAACATTGCTTTTTTCAGACAAAAATGAGTTTGATACTTCTCAACATATTAGTATACAGAATTGAAATTATGAGTTTTTCTTTTATTTAAACACAATCTACCCCAATAACCCTGTTCCAAAGCATCATCGATCACGCCCCTCCCCCCCCCCCCCCCCCCCCCCCCCCCCCCCCCCCCCACTCCGGGGTCAAGGGGGGTGTATTTGACTTTTCACCGGAGATTTCTTTAAAAAGAGGTGTTTTTCTTTTTTTCTCTCTCATCTCTTTGGACTCCTGAGAAATTATTCCGAATTTAGGGGGGTCTATTGAGCATTTTTCTGGATTTAGGGGGTCTCCAAGGCAGGAAAAGCCCGCGAAAGGGGGTTCCGAAATGTTGCCAGTCCTCAGATAGGGGGTGCTTTCAAAAAGATGGAACAAGCATACGCGTACCCTAAATAACACTGAGTGGGGGTGGGGGCCGGGGATCACGCACGCTAATCAGTTGGAGACGCATTGTTGGACATGGCTGTGGACACATCGGGAAACTGTGAGCAGTAGTTTACATAAATATGAAATAGTGTCAATATAATCGGTTCATGGTATAATACCCTGCGTTTATCCATCCCACATTATCTCATGTCCAAAATAACCGCTCATGGTCAATATCAAAACACGTCCGGTGATAACTAATTAATACTACAGGATCACACGAACGAGAAACAAAACCAAAATGCTATACCGCCAGCGACCTGTTTCAGTTGTGATGATCCTATACTTTCATGCACACCGCGCAATAAATTAAGGGAAATTAAGATTTGATAGATCAATCGAAACACGTCCGAATAATAGCTACATTTTATTCATGACCAACGAAAATATAGGATTTCCCGGCCAAATTCGCGTGTTTGTCATTCGAATTCATTTACTTTGCATTTAAGTTAGCGCAGATCGGCTTTTTCATGCCAATTATCATTCAATTTTCCAGTTTTTGTATTTAATTTAGGATTGTGGTCGAAGGGTTTCATAGATCTGCCATTCAAATTAGAAACTGCTCAACTAGCATTCAAATTAATATTCACTTGTCGAAGCGTAATTTTTATCATTTAAATTAACACCTGTCATTCGTATTCGTAATATTTTTATTCAAGTTAGGAATGTTAGGGGAAGGAATTGCAACAAACTTTTGCGGTTTTTAAATAATGCAGTTAAAATGCATGATTTGCCATTGGGGTCTAAGCTGTTTTTCCATTTATTAATTTTCAGGACAATGCAGATTGGTGTAGTCAGACATAAAGTAAAGAAGGGGCGAAAACAAGGGATATGGCATTTCTGCACGGACATGTTCATATTCCAGGGAAAGGTGGGGGTACCCTCAATCGCCCCTTTTTACTACAGACTCGGAATTTTACAAAAGTAATTCACATCGTCTCTTATACCCAGCACATGAACATTTACAATTATATTGAGACCATCAGGTCCGTAGATGCAAGTCTTTTTTTTCTTCTTAACAACCAAACTTAAATGCTGATGAATATCAGATAAATCTAATATGAAGTATAAGTGTATAAATGCAAGAAAATGAAATATGATGAAATACACATGAAAAAACAATCTTGAAAGAAAAATAATGAGCTATAAAAAGTGTGTAATAAACGAGAAATGTATATTGACCATCAATTTAAGTGCACAAAGTGCTAATTTGAATGCTACAAATGAATTAGAATGCTAAAAGTACATCGTGTCGCGTTGTCAGAAAATCGTGTTGAGCCAAATCGAATGACCAAATAGCGAAAGAAGCACATCGTTCATTAATTTGAATGAAACATACGTAGATTCTAACGAAAATTCCATAGATTTGAAAACTAGAAAAAGAAATATAAACCCGAGATATACCTGACTGCACTAAAACCGTCGAATTTGAACGCAAGACAAATTAATTTGAATGACAAACTCGCGAATTTGGCCGGGAAATCGTATACTATCAACCAAATGTTGCAGTAGTGAGAATCTTTCTTCGAACCGAGAAATAAACAAGGAACTATTCTCAAGGAAATTGGCATAAACCAAAGAAAATGATATACCCATGTTCTTATGATAACAAACATCTAGGCCCACACAAAATCTAAAGGGAAGCAATCGTTTTTTTCCCTGTAAATAATTGATTTATGTTTCAGTTATAACACACAAATCAACAACAAAAAACAGCAGGGCCCACACACATACAAACATCTTTTTATAGATTCAGGCAACATAAGTAACGGGTTGATATAAGGGGACACAACAGCCCGTGCCCCCACCCCAGAAGCCGATGTTGTATCAGTTAAATACACATAAAATGTTCCCTCTAATAATATTATAGGTGTAAATGGGTACCTGAATTTATTGGGGTAATAATTGCAGGGCCCACATGAAGAGCATTCTCAATTCATCTGGGTAAGGGGGTAAGTAAGACCAACTTTTCATAATTAGGTCCTAGAATTTAAAAAGAATACATGAAAAAGAAGGGAACACAGATTGACGAGGAAATATTAATAATCTGGATTCATATAGCGAAAACCCTGCCTAAGCGCTTTGTAGAAATCATTACTTCGTTCATCAGATTCTTTCATGTACAGTTTGCACCGTCTCCACTCCCTGGGGAGTATCCCTACCATATTGGTCACCTTGAGGGCATATGGCATTACAAACACAAGGGCTTTTGTCATCCTATTAGGTCCCCATTATGGAGTGGCCAATGTGGATGAATGCCTTGCCAAAAAACAGTATAGTGCCGTGTCGGGGATCGAACTCGCGATCTTTGCATTTCAATTCGTAAAGTGCTCAAACCACCCGACCACGATACCTCTATTAGGAGGGGCGCACAAAAATACAAGTCATGTATAAACTCAACTCATAAAAAGATAAAAACATCATGTATAAAACTTGTGTGCGTGGGCGTCGGGGAAACTCGTAGAATTTTTTAAAATTTCATTCATAATACACTATTATATGAATTATGAATCATGCGTATGTTTTATACATATTGCGTTTGTACACTGAATTGTTTTTTACGCCACAGGGACTATTGGGAAATATAGAAAGTGTTACCGAGGGATATGAAAGCACCATTTCGTGGCGATATGAAAGAAAAACTTCGTGGCGATATAATAATAGAAGGATATAGTTGTAGTACAATGGAAAGCGAGACTCTTTAAACATCTTAAAAGAAAAGCGTTATAAACTAGTTTTGACTTGCGGCTGTCATCTTTACACGAAATATTTCGGACTGTGGTCAAAATATTGGTTTCATTAGTGCTGTGTTGTTGAAATAGCTCACTTAATACGATTGTTTTTATTCTGGGTTTTATGTCATGACACAATGTTAACGACCTCGTTTCTCGAAGATGTTTGTTTTGTTGTTGTAAGCCTCGCGAAATAGGGGTTAGTTTCGGGAATACATTTTTTGTTCTTGATTCTATAATTATAGAAAGTTTCACCATAATAAGGAAATACAACATGATCATCAATGGTGTGGATCCGGACAAAAAACAAAAAGGGTTGCCGTGGGTTTCTTAAAACTGGCAAACTTAGTCGCGGGTCTTTTTTTTAATTTGTATTAACCTATATGCAAACATATAAATTATTTCTTGTAACATGATTATAATCATTTTCGAAAATCATCTCGAGGGTAATTTCAATACCCTTTTGTATATTATAATATGTTCCATATAAATAATGTTCGGATTACGTAATACATCATTGTCACATTAATTTTTTTTCTCGAAATATAGTTGCAATCTTTGGAGCACAGCTGGTCATTTTTTGTGTATTTTTATCATTATGGCGTGCAACGTTTACTGGAGAGTGGGTATCATGAACAAACTTATGGAAGTCAGTATTACCGTACTTTATTCGTATTTTCTTGGCAGTTATCTTTTCCGAAATACCATGGAGTTTGTGTATAGCTGTACAATTTGTTTGGTTAGGGTCAGAAGGTCATTAACTTAATATATACTGGAACACAGAGTCAATGTAACGATGTTCTGGCTCTCGACAGACAATTTATTTGAAGCTTATCGTGCGTATCATTATTCTGAAAGCTCTTTCCCTATTTTCACCTGCATACATCAATTTATAAAGCATTATTTCAGAACATCGGTATTTCACTAACGTCATAATGCTTTCGGTACCAGGCTCCTAACGAAACGAACAAATCGAACCAGATTTGCTTGAATGCATTTCGGGTATATTATATTTTAGTGACAGCAGGCGCACATGCATAACACACCGCATCCGATAAAAATTGTCGGCTTGTAATATTACATCACCCTCAAAATACACCGCCAATGAGATGAAAAAGAAAGCATTGTGACGTCACTCTATTGTAATCGAAAGGGAGAGCTTACGTGAGTACCCTCGCGTAAAACCACTGCTGTTTATAATTTCCGTTCAACTTTTATGACACCCATTCATTTACCTCGAAGTATCTTTTTAGGGTCAATGATTTGGGGAAGAAAATATTTGCAAAGTCATGGGCGTGTTAGATAATTATTGTTGGTGATTGGATCGATTTTAATTAGCAGAAATAATAGTGTTTACAATAGAAATAAGAGGTCGTCTAATCCCCCATATAATACCATGAATACTTGAATAGCTAATTGCATTAGAGTCGATATGTGTTTGTTTTGCTTTATTAAGCAAAGTTATAGTTATAATTATGATTATTTGTAGTGCTAGCCGCAGAAATATCGTGTTTAAAATCTATTTTGGGTACCCAACCCCGTCATTGCAAGATTAATTTGATACTCGAAGTACTTTTTAATGAAAAAAGATTTCCTCCCCCATCTCCTACTTCCTCTCTCCCTCTCTCTCGCTCTCAATCTCGTTTATTCTGGCTCGCTCCTCTCCCTCTCTCCCCCACCCCAAGTCCCCCCCCCTCTCTCTCTCTCTCTCTCTCTCTCTCAATCTCGTTTATTCTGGCTCGCTCCTCTCCCTCTCTCCCCCACCCTAAGTCCCCCCCCCCTCTCTCTCTCTCTCTCTCTCTCTCTCTCTCAATCTCGTTTATTCTGGCTCGCTCCTCTCTCTCTCTCCCCCACCCCAAGTCCCCCCCCCCCTCTCTCTCTCTCTCTCTCTCAATCTCGTTTATTCTGGCTCGCTCCTCTCCCTCTCTCCCCCACCCCAAGTCCCCCCCCCCCCCCCCCCCCTCTCTCTCTCTCTCTCTCAATCTCGTTTATTCTGGCTCGCTCCTCTCTCTCTCTCTCCCCCACCCCAAGTCCCCCCCCCCCTCTCTCTCTCTCTCTCTCTCTCTCTCTCTCTCTCAATCTCGTTTATTCTGGCTCGCTCCTCTCCCTCTCTCCCCCACCCCAAGTCCCCCCCCCCCCCCCCCTCTCTCTCTCTCTCTCTCTCTCTCTCTCTCTCTCTCTCTCTCTCACACTGTCTCTCTCTCTCTCTCTCTCTCTTTCCCTCTTACCCGTTTCTCTCTCTCTCACACTGTCTCTCTCTCTCTCTATCTCTTTCTCTTACGAAAGAGCAGTCTTGTTTCTATCACAAATATTTTAAAAAACCGGTCAATGTCACAAGCAATATCAATTCAATTTCAAAGGCAAGCAGCAATTTTATTATAAAATTACAAAAACAATATGTAACAAAAATCTAAATCCAATCAGCGCCACTTAATCATTAAGCCGCACATGTTCATGTTCTAATCAATTTTATCCAAAATATCAATTCATTTTGATTAGGTTTAAAGCATTTTAAAACGTGAACAATGGAGAAATAACTTATTTTTATACAGGTAATAAATATTGGCCCTCTGAGCCCAGGTATTTACATACATGTACATGTTAAGACGTTGACTGCGGTGTTAAAACGAACAATACAATTGAAAAAACGAGCAAGCTGTATAATTGTGCAAGAATGCCCATATAAACCCCTTCCGTCATTTAAAATCACTGCATATGCCTTTCTAATCTAACACATGGTGGCATTCATATCTTTGAAATATGTAATAACCCTTCTAATCCGTGTAGCTTTTCTTTAAACTACTGTGATGTTCAGTATCCAAGAAAGAAAAAAAATGGTGCAACAATTACCCAAGTTATACCCTTTGATGTTCGTGAAACAATATCCCCGTGAAAAAAACAATGAGATTTATTTGTGCAAGTTGTGAAGAACCAGACTTAAGTTAGCGTGCAAACATAATCTGAGTAGAAAGATACACGGTGGAAATCAGTACGAATCAACTCATCCAGGACAAGGGTTCAAATTGGCAACACAAAATTCTAACCTGCTTATGTTTAATGGTCACATTTTTTTTCTCATTAAAAGTAATGGATAAATGGACAGACTGTGCAAGTTTGGATGGAAACTCGTTTTTTTTTTTAAGTTTAAAACTTGTTGCCAATTTGAAGATTTATTGCATATTAAGTTATTCTTTATTTAAAAGCCAATGTTGTCAAATACATTATAGTAAAGCAACATAAATGGTCAAAAGTGCGTGCAATTACTTAATTTAAAAAAAATCATCGGCTGAATTTTAAAAAGTGTGCATTTGCCCTGAATGTGTTGATTAAAGCTTAAGAAATTATGATCAAAGTTTTCCTTAATCGTGCCATTGTGTTCATAGAACATACGTAATTGGCTGAGGCACATGCCTCAGGGGTTTTAAAAATGTCTTCTTCCTCTCGAAAATCATCATGATAGTAGAAGTATAAGAATATGTACAACAAAAAATCACATGAGAATTAATAACATCACGAAAACAATGCATAAAATCATTCCTAGAAAAACAGTACCGTTAAAAGACATCCATTAAAAAAATACCAATAAGGCATCATGTCTGCTTTTCTCACAATCCATAGAAAAGAATGTTCACCTAACCCCCACCTCCTCGACTTTATTATGATACAATTGCAAGATATTTGCTACAAAATTGTTGATTATAACACAATCAGAGTTTAAAATACTACATGTTATTCAACCCTAGTACTGCGATTAGTTAGTAACCATGGAAACCATGTCTCTTCGGGCAAGAATGAGATTGTTTAAAGTCTTTAAATATTAAATACACATAAAACTCGTCGATGTCATAACAAGTGAAAAGTCCATTTCGCCCTTTCAAGTTCGGAAACTAGTTCCACTTTTGATAGGCAATAGTAATTGGCAATGTCTTTCGTAGAGTACATTCTGCTTCTCTCTCCCTCTGTGTGCGTGTTCATATCGCGAGAGTTTTTAGACTATTCCATTCTTTAACAGGGGGTGACAAACTGGTAGACGAGTCGCTGCGAAACCTCGGTCTTCTTCATGATGCCTTTGCGGTAGTACTGCCTGATGGAGCGAGAGAGCTTGTCGTAGTTCATGGCCGGCCTGTTCTTCCTCAAGCCCCAAAGTCTGGCGACCTCGACAGAGTCCTCGATCTTGAAGATACCTAAGTTGGCAACAAAAAGAGACAAGAAAAGAGAGAAGAGTTAAAAATACAATCTAAACAATGTTTGATGTTGAGTGAAATTCAAACAAAGCATCTAAATTGAAATTTGTTTGTTAAGTATCTTTCTTTTGTCTTGGCTTTGTTTTTTAATAGTTCTTTTAAATATGTTGTACAGCCCCGTGTTGTAACCTTGGAAGTTTTGAATGACGGAAACAAAAACCAGGATCTCCTTTTTTTCTTCCAGGAAGTTTAACCAAAAAAATTATTTTGTGATTGATTTGGCAGAATTTCTCTGCAATAGTGATCACTGTCCTTTTTTTGTTCTGCCATAAATCTTTATGACAGGTTGCACAAGGATGAAATAGAAGACAAAAGTACAGCAACACAAGGCACACCAACATACAAAGACACATAACCACACCCATTACATCACATCCAGCCAATCACACTTCAGAAACGTCATGCATATTCATAAACCATAGCTTAACTCCATACATATTCATTAAGTGTTTCTTCTGTTGTTTTCCCTTGATATATCTATTGGAGATAGGCCTATATCAATTTTAATGTTGCCCGACTTTTTTGCCCTACTTCTCTGTCCTTGGCATTAACATCATGCATCTTGTTTCGTTCAATTTACTGGTAGCCCTCACAAAAAGAAAACATTGGCCTAGAACTTCAAACTGATTGAAAAGCATCAGTAACCGACACCCTAATGCACGTCAATCATCTTCGTGTAGTCCCGATCCACACGTAGACCGAAGAAACATATCCCCTATATTTGGCATCAATCCTTCATTATTTCTTAAAACCCACTTAATCATTCTTATCGTGCCCTGCTTTTCAGGTCAGCTTCTGGAACCAAATTAGTTACTGGTAGTTTGGAGGGGTATCAAATTACTAATGGATAGGCCTACATGACTGTTATTGAACAAAACCACTCCTCAAATCATCCGATAGAGCCTATGTTACACCTTGTTTTTTGTCTGTTTGGAGCAAGAAGGGATTTCATTCGTATATATTAACACAGAGTTAAGGCCTTTTGGGCTATTACTGATGATTGTTTGACTAGACCCCGCAACCATTGATAATTCCTGGAATTATCCTGAAAGAAAGTTTTGCCCAAATTTGGGTAAACAGAGATTTCATTCTGTTCTGGTGCCACTCGGTGCAAAGCTAGTCTACCACCGCTTCCTTCCGATTGGAAGTTCTATAGCCAACACACAGGGTCAAATAGACCACAGTGCTTCGGTTTCACTTCCCTTTTAACTTCCTGATCTTGTCTCTACCACCTACCCCCCTAACCTGATAATGGTATGACCCATGATGTCATGCATTACCACATAGCTATTCTTGGCATGCCCTTATAAGGCAGGAGATCACACCATTCACACATGACACTTCATGCATAATTCATGACCTTGGTCTTCACAGTTCACACTCGATACAAAGCCAAAGGTTCTATAAGCTAACATTTTAAAGGGAGTGGATCGCCAGTTTCCATGTGCAGAAGGCCATAATTCGCTGACACCAGACTTGGTGGAAATACCATTAATGGGGGTACAAATTTGCACACAGCAAACCCATAGTCCAGTCAAGAATTACCCCCTAATCTCTCGGAGAGCTCGAGAGTCTTCGGGCAAATCAAGGCATTACATAAGGTCCAATGGTCATAAAACTCAAGGCTAACCCTGGTGATTGACAACACCTGTTATTGGGTAAACACCCGAACGGTGTCGAATTCCCCATGAGAGCCGACTACTCAGTGACTTTAATTCATGCTAACACTCATTTACATCTCATTTGCATAGATGCAGTGACACTCACCTTGTGTTCTGTCTATCCACCTGATGCAGTAGCTGTAGGAGTTGGGCTGGAGGAGGAGCTCCTTCAAGAACTGCCAGAGCTGGATACCTCCTGTGTGGTTCGGGGTCATGGAGGTGTTGGGTCCGCTGGGGGCGGGTGATGGGATTGAGATCTCGTCTGGAAGGAGAGAGAAATACAACAATTATTAGATAAATCTTGTGATCAATATAAATAGAACTGAAATCACTGAGTCACATTGAATAAATAAGATACAGCAAGACAAAGATGTATCAAAGATAAGAAAGAAACAGCTTGAAGTATTATTGATATCTCTGTTAAATTAATCCGAAGAACAAGGACATATTAAGATAAAGTAAGTTAAAACTGCAAACAATATTGACTGCTCATTTTTCAATTATCAGAGATTATCTTCAAAATTGTAACAAATGAATATTAACAGTTCCAAAAGGCCAACATTTCTAATTTTCTGTCCAATTCGTAGTCAACGGCATCTTGAGTTTAATTATTAGACTATTGCATTTTCCTTGACAGACTCATTTTTTTTCCTCAAAACTTACCATCGCTAGGCGAGCCAGTGCTACCGCTCTCGTCTCCTGGCGTTGCTACCGGTGAGACGGGCGTGTAGGTGTACTTGGGTGGCATCATGGTTGTGGTGGGTGCCCCGGTAATGAAGTGCGAGGGTTGGGGAATATTGGGCATCATCTGTTGTGCTTGAGGTACGACCTGGGGTGCTACGTCAAAGTGAATACCTGGGACAGTGGAAGAAAGACAGAGAACATTAATAAATCATCCAGATATTAAATCTCAACGTGTTTTAATGAGCTATAGTTTCAAATGGATTTGGTGCCTTACGAATATTATCAATTATCATTAACCTGTTGCCAATTCAAGAATTTCTATTTTTCTCCTGCAGTATGGGAGAGATGGAAAACAATTTTGCTAAGGAAAAGCATTAATATCTTAAACGTGTTGCCAATTTAATGATTTGAAAGCTTACTATTCCAATTAAAACAAGGATCTGCACAATATAGATTGTGAATTTATAACTGTCACAGTTACGTTTACATAAATTAATTATTTTAAACAACACTGTTCTCAAATGGAGATGATAAAAACGTCAAGATTATCATTTTACAATGGTAAACATAAAGATGAAAGATGTTTGAAACTTTGAACTTACTTGATTTAAGAAGACATACAACGCTGTAAAGGATGTCGCCGCATTTCGGCGCCCTGTGCCTGAAATCCACGTCCTGGAGTGTTGCAAGGGTTGGTCCATTGATGTAAAAGTGGCCCATCTCGAGTTCCCCCAGCTCAAAGCGATTGGCGACGCATAACAACCACTTCTGGACATCTTCCGGCGTCCAGCAGTAAACATCTGCGGAAAGGCGAGGGAAACGTTAAGAATACGCTCCTATTTTCCTCTTCGGATGTTATCATACATATATTGACAAAAGGAGTTGCTACAGTAACTCAGTTGCATGTTAAGACCAAATCAACATTACATTGCTAGATACTATTATTATTCTTAATTCTTGTGTGAATTAATTATGATTACCAGATAAAGCAAGAATGTTCATTGATTATATGTTGAGTCGCAGAAAGATACATGATGTTTTATACAAACATTACCAGAAATTTAATGCCCTTTCGGCTCTAGCTTAGCGAATAGCGACAACAAAAAAGGTGATTTCTATCTGGAATTTACTTACTTGGAATCAAGTTGAGTTTGTGGCAATCCTCGAGGATATCAGGAATCATCTCCCTCATTAGTAATCGCATCATCTCGTTCTCCTCGATCTCTGAGATCTGGTTTCCCCCCTGCTGCTGAATGGTAGAGCCCATCTGCTGTGTAGGAAAGAAGTTCTGCTCTGGATAGAAGGACCCTTGCATGTCTGGTGAAGGGGGGAGTCCGAAGCCGCCGCTGAAGGGACTGGGGGAGGGGCCGTTGCGTTGCTGTTGTTGGATAAGATCGAGGTCTAGAAGCGTGCTCCCCATGCTGATTTCAGCTAGATGAATTGCGTCCTAAAAAAAACAATTACAACAAATATTGACTAAAATGCACAATATTCCACTAAAAACACATACCGGTATTTCCAAATTTTCATTTATCCTATTATAGCATTTTGGAGTTAAATTTTAACCATGTTCAAATGAAAGCTTGGCATTCTGTCGAATTAATTAACATCGCTAGAGCCTATTAATAACATTTCTATAAATAAGCATCTATTTTACAGGTACCTATTTCCCCTTCCCCCAGTAATTGTTTAAAAACGATACTTAAATAAAATTCTCGCCAACAGATTGATGTCAAAAACAACATGACATGTTCTTTCTCAATCTCATGGCATGAACCTAATACGAATACCGAGAACCTGCGCTCATAAAACAGAGAGGGAGACGGAAAGGGACTTCCCCGTTTTGAGCGCATGGAATAAGATGCCAAGTTGGCACAGTGCCCTCCGTAATGACGTCACAATAAACAAATCTCGCTCAGTCTCGTCGCCTTCCCTGATGTATACCGAAAGCGACCCATTCAACTGTACTGTACTGTTGCAGTTCTAGTATGGCGAATTGGGATCAAAATACAGCTCTATTATGTGTATGGTACTTGGACTTTGTACTAGCAAACTCAACTGTATAAACAAGGCATGACTGAGTAAAGTCTATGGACATAGAATTGAACACTCAAATACCGGTAGCAATATTTTGTACTGCCAGTTTGGATTTGAACACCTCATAGTGCATGTAATGTATCGAACTGAAGTGTTGCAATACGAACTACAGTTTCAAAATGATAGTCAATGTAGACTATACCCGATATTCTTTTTCAAGAGAGAGTGACACCTACTTCTATTAACAGATGTATAACAAAAATAGACTCTAAAGTGTTTGGAAAATACATATAATTGATTGGCAAAGATTGGCCGAAAACAAAATGCATCAAAAACTTGTTTGAAATGAAAACTCCTTTAATATGAAATCAATTTGAGAAATATCCTTCGAATGATTTGAAGACTGGAAGCTTTAAACTAGAGTGTTACTATTTGCCCGAAATGATATAAATTCACCCACTACTGAAGAATAAAAGAAAATGTGTGATTAAAAAATATTATTTATATAGTACTTACGGGATCGTTCATTGGTGTGGGTGAAACAATGCAAACTTCGCCAGTTGAGAACATGTTGCTTGAAGGTGTGATGTTGTGATTTAAATCTGCGAGAAGAAAAGAAAAAAGATAAGAGAGAGTAAATTACATGATCCGTAAAATCACCATTCACCAAAATGACAAAATAAACTAGAACGCCAAAATACTGTTGGACGCAGAATAGTGTACAACGCACTACGTTGAAAGTAATCAGAGGAATTCCGATGCAACTAAATTTTAAAAAGACCTTCTAATGTGTAGGCCAATTAAAATAAATTACAATGTCAAATCTGTTGACAGAATTCAAGCTTCTTACATGGCATGTAGAGATCTGAATGCAACTACAAAATGCCGAGTAGATCGCCTGTGAATAAGCTGAAAGAATTTTGGTTTCAATGTACTAAATATAACTTTGAATAATACTACCTAATTAGAGTCCCGGGAATATCAAATGGAATTTACTTTTGACTGAACTGTTTTGGCAGCTATAGCTCACTACTCATCATTCTCATGCTACTTGTGAATTGTGGGGGAAACCCGACGTACTAAAGCATCAACTTTCAATACACAGGTCGTCATAATCACAAGACTATGACGACATAAAGTAAGGGAATCGAATTTTATCAAGTGCGGCCTAATTTTGATAGATCGTATACAAGGAAGTTTGAAATCTAGATCGAGAACACTTGCGGTGGAAGGGGTTTATTTCCCCCTTTGCGTGCCATAAGCTCTCCGCGAGTGAATTTACCATTTCCGCTTTGAATTCAGCTGTTTTGTTTTTTTTCACCCTCATGAATGCACAACACTACACACACACACACGACATGGTACTCAATGCACACTCCACAATACAGTACTTCCATACACTAACAACACACAACAGCTACATAGCGAATTCACGTAGATCTTTACCACGTGTAGAAATAGAATGCAACCAAATTATAAGTTCTTTAGAGTTTTGAAACTACTAGTGATAGATTGGGTTAGAAAAAGAAGCGTCTATTTTGAAACTACATTGTAATACAAACTAGTATGAGGAAACGAAACTTGGTCAAAATGACTTGCAAAGGGACGGTAACTGTTTTGAAAACCAATCCTGGTTTTCGGTTCTGACTTTCGGTACATTTTGAAAGAATATAGTCAACATTCCCATTACATTTATATGCGAGGTCCTGAATATGAATGACAGATGAGATTATTATTATCATGGAAAAAATCAACCATCACAAATTTCCCAGCTGCTTTAGACGACATTAACAGGATACTTGGTCAAACTTTAATGTCAACGAAACAGGAATAATTAACACATTAAAGAATACATTGTAATGCATACATATTTATAAGAATGAAGCTAGGAGAGAAAACATAAATATGCATGCACATAAATAAACATCCAACATTAGAACAAAAAATACAGAATTGAGGTGAAGACTTACAAATCAAGCTGAGATTCAGGTTAAAAATACACCTGTAGAGGCAGTTGTCTTGTGTTATAATTCCTAAGCTTGGAGTTGTTCACCAAAGCGAGATCAAAATGTAAATGTTACCAAAATGAAGTGATTCTAGAATTTATAGTGGTAAACCGAAGCGAGCTATCGGCCTGCTTTCCCGTTCATTTTCCCGAACCATGACATCATTCGCTTTCAAAGAACCATGAATTATTCATCACACGACGGGCTGGTAGGCGGGGCTTCGTGCCCTAGCTGATAAATTGACTTTTGTGATTGGACAATGGGTGCTCAATAGGCAACGCACGATTCGATCCGCACGTACAGGGGCACAGAAAACTATTGATGGGGTCGCAATAATCCCGTAACAATAGACTACTACTATAATGTTTTGGGGTTGGGGTACGGGCTGGTGTGGATTGTGAAAAGGATAACGATAATCTGGGATCGACCTGCGTCAATTCCTTGTTCATTTAGAAGTCTATCGACTTTTCTCCCTTTTGAATCTGAAATACCTTCTTTTCGAGTCTTTTCAAGAGATTTAATTAAGCATATCGAAGACGTAAGATACGTGCAAATGACCTCATGAGAACACAGGGTAATGGGTAAACAGTTTGTCAACAGTAGGTACTGCCAGGTAGATTTACAAGACAAGCGTAAGACCATGGACCTACTAACAATATGTGACGTTATCATATCTATATGTAAAAATCTTCCCCAAAAGTTAGTTATAAATTCATGTATTGCTTATTGTTTCGCAGAGGTGTGGAGGGGGCACAGCACTTTCACTGGGAGTGTGCAGCGGTGCAAAAGCACTTTTTTTCGGGTGATGCTAAACCCCCTTAACCCCCCCCCCCTCCCTGGGAGTTTCTTTCCATAGCCATTAGCAGCGGTACTAGAGGGCCCTTTTTTCAGGTGAGGCTTAAACCCCCCCCCCCCCCTCTTCCCCCTCTCCCATTCCCCCTCCCAAAACAAAAATCTTATGGAACATCTCCTGACTACCATACTGGCAACTTCAGTCAAATTCAAAGAAATCTACAGTAAATTAGATTATGTTGCCCAAACCGTTGGCGCTATAAAACATTGAGTAAAGGACTTATATTTAATATTATATTGGCCTATTATTCTATGCTTATCCTCATGTCACCGTGTCACTCATTTTGACATAGTTATTTTTATCCAACGCATTATGATCTCATCATCCAGAATGTAGTCACCGTATGAATATCTGGTTGGCCTCTTTGAGGACACCAACCTGTGCGCCATCCACGCCAAGAGGGTTACCATCATGCCCAAATACATTTAGCTCGCCCTCTATTTCAAAACCATGGCATATATTATTTTAAAAATGCCTGACATTCATTGAAATTACTCATGCACATAATTTTACCTGTAATGGTTATATTGACAAAGATTTCAGAACCATGAAAAAATGTAATAGCTTTCAAAACCATGTCATAAAATGCCTGACATCCATCGGAAATGACAAAGATTATGATTTAAAAACCATGAAAATGAAAAGCGGGCAAAAGCGTTGATTGATCTGCTATTAGGTTAATGTTTCTTAATTATATATATATATATTATTGTTAGTGTGAACATTGTTGATTATGATTGGTTGATTAATTAGTTGATTGATTCGGATTCATTCTATTTCATATATCACTTGTTTGCACAATAAAGGAACTGTTGACAAAAAGTAAATTCAAAATTATGAAATGAAACAGGAACCTATGGTAAAGCATAGCTAAAACAAAACAAAACTAGACATGGCAGGACAAAACAAGACAAAAAACAAAACTGCATGTGAAATACAGTTCCCTGAAATGATTTAAAAGAAAGAAATAATATAAGAACCAACACTTTCGAATGATTCAACGCCTACTCATTGACCCAAACGTAGTACGATACACCGAGTTTGACAGAACTAAGGAAATACCCTTGAAAACTCGTTGGGCGGACAGTTACAATGGTATGAAGACATGGAACATGCAACAGGACTAATTATGCTCATTGGTCAGTGATATATTTCCCTTTAATTACATTGCAACATCATAAAGCAACACGATTAATGAACTTGCGCGAGGTACATCATTTCAAAGAATCAATTACATGATAAAGCACCAAATGAATCGGGTAAAGTTTTATGAATGATTTATAACCGCTTGGACTGAACTCCGACTATTAGAATCTTGAAATATTAATATCTACCATCCACTGTAACTAGAGAATTTTATCGATAACATGGTGACAGCATACAATTTGTAAGAAGGAATGATGATTTCGACATTAGATGTAAATGAACTTCAGGCATTGAGATATAACTATAAAACAAAAATATCAACATTTGACTAGCAATATCAACTTACTAGAATTGTTTAATGTTTTATAGATGGGGCGCAAGACGAACGCAAATTGTGGGGTAATTTCAGACCCCTTTTTTCGGATAACTGATTTATACCACAAAAATGGAGAGAGGTATGAATAATAATGATACAAGAAATAATTATTATTCCCCATAACAATTATCATTAACTTAGTACTATACTAAATCATAAACTTCTGGAAAGGAGCTCATGTAATGATTATTTATCTGTATCACTTATTGGAATAGAGATTGGTTTCATCAGGTTTCATATAACTAATGACGATAATAATATGGTATTTTCCTCTTTAAATGATTAATTTAATTGCAGCATGCATTTTCAGCTCGGATCCAGATATATTTCTTTTAACATCAATCGTACTCTTTAATCATCAAACTACATAATCGTTAACATTAGCAACCAGGGTCACATTTTCGATAATTACATCATTATAGATCCACCAATTATTATGCTGTCATGATGTTCATTTAAATTTCGATTTTTAAAAAGTCCCGTTCCAACATTTTTAATCTTCATGCGATGTAAAAATAGCTACTTAGGGTTGGTGGAATTTATTTTGCAGATCACAAAATAACAAGGAAGGACCTCGCAAAGTATATACCACGCACTACTATATAACTGTACGCAAATGTAGGATAGAATATAATACTCGTGGCAATATGGTCAAGAGGGCGGAGTGGGTGGAAATTGATATTTTTACCAAACAAGTTCGCCAGGGAAAGGGTAATTATTTTTTTTTCGTCTTTATTTAGTGTTGTTGTTCTCCTTCCTTGACAAAGAGTGCCTACGCGTGATTTCACTTTAAGCATGTCACGCAAGTGTCTATACTTTATCAACCATCGATGCACTTTCTTTATTTGCGTAATAACGCAAAAATTTCCCCTAAATTTCAATTCAAAATCATGCTTATTCTAAGCTCACCGCGCAATATTCACATATTAAGTATCCGACTTTAGACGCAAAATCTGCAATTGAATATGTTTGAAAAAATATCCCCTATATGTTAATTCAGTCACGCTTATTATAATAACATAAGTTCAATATATTCGAACGAATAACTGGGGTTCATACTGTACGTAAACATCTGGAAAATTATCAAATTATGATCATTTGCAGGGCCAACATGCAGGTTTATAATACTTTAATATGCTAGGAATCGTGCGGTTTAATTATGTTAAAATACATATTACAATCATCATTCTGTTTATCATTTACTACTTAGGACTTCATTGAAAAGGTTACGTGGAGGGAATAGAGCAAAATACCGAGTAAATTAGTGGGCGAGTATGTCCCCTTTTCTACGTTGAGGTCGCCATCGACATCAATCAATCAAATCAAATCATAATGAGGGGTCTTCTGCGTTTAAAACCATGTTAATTATTGTAAAATGTTTATTTCCCATTTGTGAATTTCCTAAATGTGTTTAATAAAAGTAATTTGTTAATGTCTGAAAATGTGTTTGTGTGTATTTTTTCTGTATTACACTATTAAACGCAGAAATAGAATTTAAAACAACAAATAGGGAAAAGCGGAAAAATGCATGGGGAAAGATAATGACCAAATAATTACTGGGTATTACGTTATTGACCGCAGATTTAAAAAATTCAAACAAACAAACAGGAATAAAACAAGTGGTAAACGGAAAAGAAATGGGGAAGAACAATGAGATAGGGAGAGAGTGGGCGGTAAAATTCAAGGGGGGAATCTTCATAACTTGCTATCCTGGAAGAAACAATATGTTTCTTGAAGTCCGATTGAAATGTACTATTTACTTTCGATTGCAGTAAATAATAGTCGACATTTTGACCTGATATCTTGCGTAAGATGTTGAAATTGTATCAATTATATACCTTCGAGCACAATACTTCTATTTATGGCTAAAATGTTCTTTGCAATAAAGACAATTTAGTTAACAAAAATGTTTTCCAATTATCTTCATACAGTACTCTCTCTCTCTCTCTCTCTCTCTCCCTCTCTCCCTCTCTTTTTTTTCTCTCTTTCTCTCTCTCTCTTTCTCTCTCTCTCTCTCTCTCTCCCTCTCTCTCTCTCTCTCTCTCTCCCTCTCATTCCCATAATTTGCATTGGTTTCTTCCCTATCTCTCTCTATCCATTCATTCCCTGTGAATTACAAATATTTATACAACGATAAGATCTGAATCTGAAAAATTCCATATTTCACTTAAAACTGCTTTGTTTGTTTTTGAGTGGTTGTGTATACAACAAAAGAATAATGACTAAATGGTTATTTCCTAAACTAGTGAGTTGATGAATAAGAATATCAACCAAAGTAAATAAAAACCGAACCACTGGTTCCACTCAAATGAGCAAACAAAATTAATATTTCCTAAAATTCTCATTTTATGAAAAAACACTAACTTAGGTAAACAAAATAAACGCGTAAACGATGTTCTTCGTGCCATCGAAATTATTTTCGGTGTCATGAAAACTGAATAGTTTTCTATTCCAACCATAGGTCATGGACAGTATGAAAGTCGATTTCCTGGTTTATTATAAAATGTATGTATTCCCCTCGATATGCAATCAAATCATCCCTCCACTGGGAAAGTTGTGAACTTTATAAAATAATGATTACTGATTATTTTAATCTAAAAATGGAGACAGACGAGCGTTAATTCCTACATTCTAACACAAAGTTAACGCCCCACATGACTCCGAGCAGACTTATAATATCATAA